GTCCTCCGTCGGTTACGGGCCGGGCCGGGCCCATTTGGCCATCTCTAATTATGTTAACATGATCATTATTAGGATTGTAAACGAACCGAACAAACACAAACGGAGGCTTGTTCATGTTTATTCGTTTAACTTAACCGAACAAACGAACGAACACGAACGGTAAACGAACGAAAATCTTTGTGTTCGTGTTCGTTCGTTTAGAAATCAGGTGTGTTCGTTTATGTTCGTTTATTAACATGCTAAACGAACGTAAACGAACGAACATAAACGAATGAGCTAAATGAACATAAATGAACGGGCTAAACGAACATAAATAAATATTATTTAAATTCAAAGTAAATAATCAAAAGATTATATATTAAATTTAATATATAAATGAACATAAACGAACGAATATAAACGAACGGTAATGAACGAACGTTCACGAACATAAATGAACGAACGAGACTCTTGTTCATGTTCGTTCGTTTAACTAAACGAACAAAAAAAAATTGTTCATATCCGTCCATTTATTAAATAAACGAACATAAACGAACTTTTCGTTAAACAGTTCACTGAACGTTCGGTTCGTTTACAGCCCTAATCATTACAATAATATAAACAAATTAACCCTACACAAAGAAGCCCTGAATGTGTTTATATTGTGTATTACAACAATATAAACAAATTGACTATAGAATGGATAGCAATTGAAGCCCTAAGAAAGACCAAAGCTTTGTACCAATCAATACTCTCATCTACCATGGTTTTGATGATGTAGACCCATCTTATGGAAAAAAAAAATTCCGACCATATAAGACGGTACAACTTGTATCTATATTTAGAATAATAAAACTATACTTGTTTTTCAATACTTGTTCTTTATTATCTAATATTGAGTTTATAAATCTTATGTACTATTCTATCTCTAAAAGAAGAATAAGATCTCAAATTATCACTAACATGAGTTTTTTAATTTATATATACTCGATGCAGAAAAGTTTGTTTTAACTCTAACTCTATGTTCTTGAGTCTTCTTTTACGTAGGAAAGAAAAATATTCTGTTCTCGAGATTTTTTTAGGGGAAAGAAAAGAAAAGAAATTATTTCAAAAAAAAAATTTATTTCAAAAAAAAAATTTATTTCATCCTCTTTCCTTCCTTCCTCTCTCTTCTTTATTAAAAACATAAATAAAAAACTTTATTTTTCTTCTTTCCTTTTATTTTTCTTTTCCTTTCTCATTTCTTTTCTTCCTAAATTCTAAAACATAATATAAAAGTTTAAAATGGTGTTAGGGGCTGTTTGTTTGGCTCTTAATGTCACCATTAAGAGCCAACCTCTTAATCGGTCAGAGATGAGAGGTGTAATGTATTTGGCAAAAAAAAAAAAACAGCCCTCTTAATGGTTACACAAACCTCTTAACCATTTTGAGGGTATGACTTCACTAAACCTTCAGATTACCCTTTCTTCCCTCTTTACCCTTCCACACCCTTTAGAGAACAGCCGCACCCATCGTCTCCCCAAGTCGTCGCCTTCCGGTTATCGCCCCCATCTTCTCCGGCGCCGGTGTCTTCGGTCGCCGTTTCCACAGCTTCGTCGGTCGCCGGTTTCCTCAGCTACTCGTCGGTCGCGCTTTGCTCACCTTCGTCGGTCTCGCTTGTATCAGGTTTGTCTCCCGTTAGATCCTCTGTTTTTTGCTTTCCTCAGCTTCGTCGGTCGCCGGTTACATCCTCTATTTTTTGAAGATTGCTTTCACTTTTTTTTACTAGATTTTCTGTTTAGATCTTGCTATTTAGATGGGGTTTTTTTGAAGATTGCTATCACTTGCTGTTTTGAAGATTGCTATCACTATTGATGTCTATCTGAAACCATTAATAAAATGTGTGGGGTAAACAAGCTACTGCCCTTTCGATTTTCTGTTTACAATGTGTGGGCTAAACAAGCCACTGCTTTAGAAGTTTTCTGTTTATAATTTTGTACTTTATAGTTTYATAACAGAGGAATTGTTATTTAGGATGAGGCATGTTAATAAGCTAAGGATGGTAACAATTGTAAACAAGCCACTGCTTTAGAAGTTTTCTGTTTACAATCTTGTAGATTTTATGTTTATTGGGTTGTTTATTCGTTTGCTAAACTTTATCTTACTTTGTACAAAATTGTTTGGACTAGGTATGGAATTAGTTGGTGAATCTTCGCACCAAAAGAAACGTAGGATTACCTGGAAAAAGGAAGGATTGGTCCAAACATTTCTCGAARYTTRTATACACGAGACAATTAAAAATGGACGAGAAGGTAGTAGTCTTAAGTCACAGTCGTGGAAGAATGTTGGGGAAGAGTTGGAAAAAAAACATAATATTGTCGTGGATCA